GAAGGACGGGCCAAAGAGCACTGGGGGACCACATCAGCACTCCTCCATACACGTATATGAACAAGTATTGCGATTTATGTCTGCAACGGTGTCTTCAAGGAACGAGTCCGGACTTACTCAGGTAATTTGGAATATCTGCCAATTCGTTCCCACCGCGATTAGCATAGACTTTTGGAAATTTTTCAGCTGGCTGGTAAACAGCTATACCAACGACGTACCTGGAATGGCGACACCGAGATACGAGTCCGGGTTCGGCGTGAACTTTTGCTGCAGCGTCACCCCGTTGCGACCGACGATCTTGAAGCGTGGCACGTAGGTGGTGTCGAAGCCCGTGGCGAAGACGATCGTGTCGAGTCCCGTCACGACCGATCCGTCGGCGCCGACGATCCCGTCCTCGGTGATCTTGGTCACGGCAGTGAAATGCACGTCGACATTGTCTTTGTTGAGGGCTTCCATGAAATTGACGCCCTGCAATCACACAAACACACACACATCGAGACGTCAGGATCTGTCAAAGAAAACCAACGGGCAAGGGGACACGGAGGAAAGAGGGTCATGGTATGGGATAGGATACGTACCGGTGTCGTCCTCCTACAGCCAACGGCAAAATCGGGTTTGAGGTTGTCAAACAGCCCGTCCTTGCGGAGGTGGTCTTGCATCTTCTTCAGGGCTCGCTCGCGCAGCGTCACCTGCTGCGGTGCGTTCTTGAACATGGCGCCCCAGATCTGGTTGACCTGTAGATTGGAAGGGGAGATTGTCAGCACGTTTTCCTGGTGTGAGAGAAGGTCGTGTGTGTTGGACGAACCGCAACTTCGTAGCTGCGAGCCTGCTTGAGCAACTTGTTCATGTCTGTGGCAAACTCGAGCTGCTCTTCCTTGCTGACTGTGAGGGTGTTAGCGGGCCATCACTCCAAAGATCATAAGATCTTTCCCAGGAGGCTCACATTCAGGAGGATGCTGCGAGTAGTAGATACATCAGTATGACTTGTCACCTCTCAATCTTGGTCCTGAGGACAAACTCACCGGGTTGTCGGGCTGAGCAGACGCGAGCCACGTGCGCGATTTGGCGTAGAGATGGAGTTTCTTGACGTGCGGTTGAAGACTGTCACGGTCAACAAGATGAAGAGACTCCCCGGGGGGAGTGAAGAACACATACCCTGGTGTCGTCTGGACACTTGAAGAGCCCGCACCGATGACGGCGATGGTCTGGCCTTTCCATGCATCCTCATTATAATCATCCGGCCACTGCGCCGTGTGGACCTTTCTGCCCTTGAAAGTCTCCATCCCCTCAATATTGGGGACGACGGGATTGTTCAACAGACCTGAGGCTTGTAGCAGGACGTCCTAGCGACATTTCTGTCAACACGATTGAAGAAGGAATGGGATAAAAGAAAACCAAAACGTACGCATTGATCTTCGATGATCTTTGTCGACCCGTCGATAAACGACTTTTCGATCTTGACATTCCATTTCCCGGCCTCGTGATCCCACACGGCCTCGACGACGCGGGTGTTGAAGTGCATGTATTTGCGGAGATCAAAGGCTCTGCAGATCCGATCGAGGTATTTCCAGATATGTTCACTCTTGGCATACAGTTCGGGCCACCAAGGCTGTGTGAGAAAGGGGGGATTTTGGTTAGTTACCTTGGTTATTCGGACACTGTGATCGACTGTGGGGGAAACTTACATTCAGAGCAAAATTAAAGGTGTAAGAATGGCTGGGAACTGTGTTACAGCATCGTCAGTCGCGAGACTCCCATACACACAACAGTGTTCCAAGGGACAAGTGCGAATGAATGGGGGTAGATAGATAGGTAGGTAGGTAGGTAGATGTACCATCGCAAGCACAGTTCGGATATCGATTCTCAAGCCACGTCCCCCCGATATCGCCGTTCTTTTCGTAAATGACCAGTTCCACGTTCTGGAGCTCTTTCTGAAACTTGTACGCGATCAAGATGCCTGCAAAGCCCGCGCCGATGGTGATGACCTTGACCCTGCGATTCTCGGGTGCCCGGTAGGTAATGTCTGGGACATGGTAGCCCTGGGCGTTTGTATGGAGCGGGACGCCTTCATACTCTTTGCGCATCTTGTCAATAGATCTTACCGTCACGGCCAGACACGAAGAATTGGTACAAGAAGGGGATGAAAGAAAACCTGTCAATATCTTTACTAACGAGTGAGTGTCTGTGAACCACGGCTCTTAGTTATAAACACCCTCTAGATCGGTATATGCTGGTCGTCAATCCCTATGTGTTGTTGTATTCTCTACTCATATGCATTCATCACCTGACGGATGAGGTTCCGGTCGGAATTCGAACGCCATCAACGCCCAAATCTGCATCCTTTTTTTTTCGTTCATAGTAGATCTAGAGACGGTTTGTTCGACGAGCACGATCGGAATTGCACCATCCACTCACAATCCGCTTAGATCCATAGTCTTGGGCCGAGGTGGGTTGATGGATCCCAGGGCTGCTTCGACGTAGCTTCGACACTGGGTAAAGTACTTGTGCCTTGATCGTGGTCTCGCCTGATTCGGTTCTATCTCAACTTGCTCCAAGATTCTAAGGTCATGAGACAGATGCACGAGTGCATGTCGTCTATCTGCTCAGCGTCTTCTGGGGAGTCAATGGAGAACGCCTTCGATGATCTGGTAGCTGAGCATTCAGGATGGAGATATACTACATGGTAAATTCATGGCAAAACAAAAGATTACATTCGACAACTCCCCCGGGATGTTTGGGAGCGTCAAGAATACTTCGGTCGGCTACAAACATGATCAACGGACGAGAGACAACAGCCTTGCACGACAATTCTTTTGAGACATCAATGCCCCTATCGAAGCCTTTAGTACCCGTTTTTAGAGACTGTCCCTATCCAGCATTGATGTGGGTACGACCAGGTGCCTGCGGAACGAAGACGTCTAGATACGATTCGTTCCCCATTTTCGAAGAATCAATGGCCCGGAATTACGCATACGACACCTCCACACCTACGTAGTGACAACCAAGTCGAAGCTGGCGATGGGAACTAATAATAATAGTAACCATTTGACGACAGCGCTCTGCTCCCTCAGACCACGAGCACCACGGCCGCACCGCACTCCTTTCCAAAGCGCAGGCCAGATCGACCCATCCATCCAGACCATCACCTGATATCGTACTGAGCAAGTCCTGTTTTGTCCTGTCCTGTCTGACCAAACAACCTCTGTTTCTCTCTCTCTCTCTCTCTCTCTCTCTCTCTCTCTCTCTCTCTCTCTCTCTCTCTGTGTGTGTGTGTGTATGTGCAGCATGGCCACTAAAATCACCCCGTACAAGATCCACATCGACCAACAGCGGCTCCAGCGACTCAAAGACCTTCTCCAGCTGAGCGATCTCCCCGACGAGGTCGACGACGTCCCCCCATGGCAGCGAGGGACGCCCCTGTCCGAGATGCAGCGCCTGGTGATGTACTGGCGGGACAGCTTCGACTGGCGGGCCGTCGAGGCGCGACTGAATCTCTTGCCGCAGCAGATGGTCACCGTCGCCGTGGACGGGTTTGGAGAGCTCGACGTGCACTGCGTCCACCAGCGGAGCGAGCACCCAGACGCGATCCCACTGCTCTTCCTCCACGGCTGGCCGGGCAGTTTCGTCGAGGTGACCAAGATCCTCCCGCTACTTACGCGAAGAGAGGGCCCTGGGGAGGAACCAGTGTTCCATGTCGTTGCCCCGAGTCTCGTCAACTTTGGATTCTCGTCAGGAGTGACAAAGGTAGGTAACCTTTACAACTCCCCCATTTTGGTAGACTACAGGATCACTGGAGGGTAGCGGAGAGACTGAATAACTGGCTGGCTGGCTGGCTGACTTGTCGCCATCATCAAAGTCCGGCTTCAACAGTGGCGAGCATGCAGAGGCGGTGCATAAACTGATGCTCACGCTCGGATACAACGAATATCGTAAGACAAGACAAAATCCTTCTCTGGTCCTTGCCTCTCTCTCTCTCTCTCCCCAGCCCTTGAGAACCTGTACCTGCCCCTGGGGACACGAGACAGGGACTGATATGAGAACCCGGAAAAGTCGTCCAAGGCGGCGATGTGGGGTACTTTGTCGCCCGGTTCCTCGCCCACCAGTACCCAGAGTCCTGCAAAGCGCACCACGTCAACATGGCCGTAGCCAACGAGCCTGATGCTGCGACGCACCCCGACCTCACGGCGAAAGTGAAGAGCACTCCCCTAACGGACTTTGAGCAGCGGGGGCTCGCGCGATCCGCGACATTCCTCCAGGAGGGCATGGCCTACGCGATCCTCCACGCCACACGGCCCCAAACGATCGGCTACGCGCTCAAGTCCAGCCCCAGGGCGCTGCTCGCGTGGATCTACGAGAAGCTTCACGCGTGGAGCGACGACTACGCCTGGACCGACGACGAGGTCCTCACGTGGGTGAGCATCTACTATTTCTCCACGGCGGGCCCGCACGCCTCGGTGCGCTGGTACTGCGACAGCGTGGGCAGTACGGCCGCGTCGGACAACGACACGGCCAAGCGATACGTCGACGTCAAGCTGGGCATATCGCGGTTTCCCATGGAGATCGCGACCACGCCGACGCTGTGGGCGCGCACGATGGGACCGGTGGTCCTCGACAGGCTGCACGACAGGGGAGGGCATTTCGCCGCCTGGGAGTGTCCAGAGGCTTTGGTGGGTGATGTTCGGGACATGTTTCGACGCAGAGATGCTGGTGATGGGAATGGTGGAAAGAGTCGACGGAAGTGGTGGGAGGAATTGAAGAATGCGTTGCCGCTGTGATTTTCACCTACATACAGTGTAGAGACATCGCCTATCCCAGTCGTATCAAAGCCCGATCCAACAGCTGACCTAGCTGCATACCTGGTGAGCATTGCATATCAATATAACCGGCAACCAGCAACCACCGCACTTTGGTCGCACACCACGTTCACCACAGCCCTCTCTTCAACCCAGCTCAAGTTGACCCAACTCATACTTCCCCAGTCCAATATAAACTGCAGCCGTTCACTCAAAATCCCAATATCTATCCTCGTTCCGAATGTAGGGGGCCAACCTCGATCTGTCGTGCGTATACTGCTCCTCGGTCCACCCGTTGCCCAAGAACGCCCAGCGATTCTTGCGGTGGTATCGGAACTGGTAGTCCTCCCAACGCACGTTCTTGATGGTTTTGAAGTAGTGGAAGCCCTGGTATTGCTGTTAGATCTTTGGCTTTCACGCCTTCGGGGACATAGACATGGTCATGATCATGTTGTCCAGTGTGGGTGGAGGAAGGGAGAGATTTACCGAACCGCCCCAGATCCATACCTTGCCTGTACAAGGAAGGACAAGTAGTCATTTCAAGTCAGCGATAGAACAATGCGGCACACCATGGGTGAGCTTAGAAGACGCTTAGAGGGTCGAGACGAACCATCCTTGACCCCATTCTTGTACCAGCTGTAGACGCGGTCAGTCCATAGGTTCCATCACATTGACCCGCAAGGGCTCTTACCTGCTGCAGTCATCACTCCACACCGAGTTGCGATGGAACTCGTCTGAAATTCAGTCAGAGCACTCTTCTCTCTAAAGGCCGGTACCAAAAAGGTCCTTACCTATGTGCTCGTACAACTCGTCGATGGGCTCCGGTCGGACTTCTAGAGCCTTGATACCCTCTTGCTGCATTCTTTTCATGCATTGTACAATATACTCCACTTGCATATCATGCTGAACGGAGATTCTTTAGCGAGGGTCATTTTTTAACACTGAGTCCCGGCACTTACAGAGACTAATACACTTCCCACAGCCCAGTTACCTGTATGATAGGTCAGTCAACAGTAGCTACACATTGAATGCCCTCACATACCGCGAACGCCGTTGACGACAAAGTAGTTGGGAAACTTCGGCACCGTCAGAGCAAGGTAGACCTTGGGCTCAGGGTCGAATTCGTCGGACATTGTCACCCCATTGACTCCACGGATAGGACTGCGTGTGCGTATAAATCAGCGACGGTACATCCGTGGCACGCGACACCCAGGGAAACTCACAAGCGGGGCGCAAACGCGATGTTGAATCCAGTTGCACAAACCACAATGTCAACATTGTAAACCTCACCAGCATCGTCAATGATGCCTTCCGGAACCACAGACTTGATACCTCGATGGACGGGGAGCACATCTAACGTCACTCAGCTCTATAGACGGGAAGAAAGGGGGAAGAGTATACTGACTCGGCATGGTCAATGCTTCGAGATATCCCGGCCCTGGAGTCACCCGCCGACCTGAAGAGGCATCCCTGTCAACCACATTTGCTCGTATAAATCAGGAGGACTGAAAAATGGATACGTACAGCCAGGAGACCAACTGGGAATGACGGCCTTCTTCAACTCTTCATGACCTGGCCCAATGCGGTCGTTCATATTGTCGATCAGCAACCGCCTGAGGTTCTCAAGGGACTGAGTCCCTTTCAGGAACAGGTCGTAGCTGTCGTTCGCCCGGACCTCGATGTCCTTTCGATACTGGAGCAAGAAATCGGGGTCTTCTCGAAACCGCTTCTTCTCTTCCTCGGAATAGACGTATTGCTCCTTCCTGTCCTCGGCCTTTTTGCCTTGGCCACTGGTGATGCTGGAATCGAGCATGTCGGATGCGATGGACGGGTAGATCCTGCGAGTGTGCTGCGTTAGACGCCGCTCATGTCTGGAGTTGGTATATCTGGCCTACCATGTCGGGGAGCGCATAAAGGTCACAACTTGTGCGGCACCTGGTCCCGATTGTCATTGTCAGATGGCCATGTCAATCCGCCGGGTGGGTTTCCCCCCTACTTTTTTGCAGTTCGGGCAAAATCTGGATAGCAGAAGACCCCGTCCCGATGATCGCGACCTTTTTATCCCTGTAGTCGACAGCTGAGAGATGTTAGGATCTTCTTATCGTTCCTCCGGAGCCCAGAGGTATCTTACAGGGATCCCATGCCGCACTGTGCATCAGTTTACCCTTGAAGCTGTGAAGACCTGGAATATTCGGCCCTGGCGAAATCTCAAGGTCAGTACTGCAACATCCTCCAGAATGCAAGGATGGAGATCGGGATCGCACATTTCCAATCATTCAAAAATCCGGCGCCGTTGATGAACACGTGGCACCAGTCTTTGATCGTCTCGCCGCCTGTTTCGACCTCGACCTCATCTGCTCCACGGGTCAGCAGTCATATCTCTCCCGGTTACAGGATATCCGGACAAATTCCTCTCTCTTCATCCCAGTTTGCGCTGAGGATGCGTGAGTTCAGCTTGATGAAGGGCTGAAGGCGGTACTTGTTGACAAAGTTTTCCAGATACGCGAGAATTTCGGGTCCAGAGGCATAGAACTCGGACCACTCTGGATTTGGCTCGAACGGGAAGACATATGCATGTGCAGGTCTGTGTAGAGACAGTCAGACGGATTGACAATCATCAGGCTCATTGCTAGAATTGGCGTACAGATCACAAGCACATCCGGGATACCGATTCTCGTACCTGGTCGAGTCGCGATCAGTATTCCCAGCCAAAGAATCCAAAGAGAGCAACAAACTTACCAAGTCCCACCGACTCTGGGATTTCTTTCACGTCCTTTTCGTCAGTACAGACCCAACAGTTGAACCCCGGAATCTAGGCTTCACGAAACTCACTTGTCATAGCAGACCAGCTCATAGTTCTTCAGCTCCTTTTGCATCCTGTACGCCACCAGGATACCTGCGGCACCTGCGCCGACACAAATTACTCGGAGCTGTGAGGGCTGGGAGTGATATTGCGGCAGGATGTTGTATTCCCCATTCTCAGGGAGTGTCGAATGCCCCGTGGGGATGGAGGAGCCTGAAGGCATGGTCGGGGCAATTGAGGATTCTTCGCAAAAATGAATCCGAATTGTGGTTTGTCCCAAGGACTATGTAACGTCCTCCTTCCATCTTGTCTGGCCGTTAGCACACTTAAGTTCGCCAGAAACAGTGTCGTTCACTCGCTGCACTAGTTGGCTGGAATCCCAACTGGTCGGAAATGAGTGACGACTGACAGGCATCGAGTAGCGCGGAATTAGGACGAGCCCACTCGGAATCGAGAAGGTGGCCAGACGAGGTAAGGTGGGAGAGAACTTGACACACCCATTAAAGATTCTGCATGTCCTGTATTGGAGAAAGCATGCTTCAAGGTTCAGAGATGGACAGGAATCGCACGCAGTGTGATATCAGAAACGAGAAAACGGAAGCGCGATGGACATTGTGGCTGATCAGCGGGTTTTTCTCTCTGTCATATTCCAACATCCTCGTCACTACCTACTGAAATATGCATTGTAGAAGTATGTCAAGTAACTGTCTATCACCTCTCTGCTCTCTCTATTTCAGTCTTTCTCTCCCTTTAAGAACCGAAAAAGCGTATCATCCACCTCCCGCCGAAGCGTAGAATCGCACAGCAACCCCCCTACACCGAACCCATGCAGTCCCCCCTTTCCAATGTAAACCGTAGTAGGCACCCCAGCGTCCGTGCTCTTCTGGATCCAAGTCTTTGCCTCGTCTTGCATCACTTCCAGGTCGCCATACACCACCAGCTGTGCCGGTAAATTCTTGAAATCTGTCGCCAGGACAGGCGAAATGCGCGGATCGGAGGGCGAATAGTCCTTGCCAATGAATGCCGGCACGAGGTGGGCTTTCATGTACGCCGGAATCACCAAGACGTCGCGGTCGAGGCACTCGTGGTTTTCGATCGTGGACAGCGTCAAATCAAGCCAGGCGGAGAAGAGCACAGCTTTGCCTGGGGAGGGGAGTTTCTCGTCGTCTCGAATCGCTAGAACTGTTGCCGCCACGAGATTTCCTGTCCGGTTTAGCCTGCGGGTTTCGTGAGGAACGGAACCGAAAGGGAAGGGGGAAATACCTCCAGCAGAGTCTCCTGCAAAACAGATCTTCTCCGGTGTGACATGCTCGGTGTGGATCAGGTGGCGATATACTGCTAGCACTGTTTCCAGCTGCGATGGATAGGGATGCTTGGGAGCAAGTGCTAGGGAGATGGATAAGTCGGGGGTTTGCTCTTATCAATGTCTTCAGAAGGGCTGGGTAATCTCACGGTACTGAACAGCAACTATGGCGAGTTTCATCCCTTGCTTTCTCGCCAGTCCGAGCCAGCGCTTGTACATTGTCCTGTACTGCAGAGGGTGGCCTATACAATACCCACCACCGTGGAGGTAGACGATGACCACGTCTGCGTCTCGAAAGGGTCCCGGCTCGCCGACATCAAATGCTGTGAATTCAGGTGTTGAGATCTTCCTGGCCTTCTCGACCGCCGCCTTGGGGGCATTGAGGACGATGTCGGAATCCCATGCAGACAGCGTCGCGCAGACAATGTTGCCGATGGCGGTACGGAGTGAGGGCTGGGGCAGCGGTGAGAGGCATGTCGCAAGCCTCCGTAAAGTATAGCCCGAGACCTTCCAGGAGATGGCAACAAACGCACTCAATGTATTGACGGGCCTCTGACGAGCTTGTTGCCAATTGATCTGTGCCATGGTGACTGCGATCAGCCTGTCACTTGGCCAGTCCAGCTGTTCTCCGCAGTTACTTTCTTCTCAGTCGCCACTATCAACGACGAGTTCCTGCGTATTGTAGAATATCTGGGCGTTGGTCGATGTTGTTAATGCCACCCTTGGTCCTTACTTGGAGGTCATTCACTCCCTCACGTTATGGACGGGTTCAATCATCAACCATATCACGACGTCGCAGGCGTTGACGGGGCGGGATTTTGTCCATGAGCTGCCAACGGAAATACTCAGACTTTGCTCAACTGGTCCTCTCACATACGCCTCGATTACTCGGAAACCCTGACTGGCTTCTCCTGTCCTAAGCACTCCCGTCCCGGGTCTCCCCTCCCTCGGCCATAGAGTGGAAAGTTTGGCCCCGTCGATTAGGACGACCTTCGTCCGCGCCCACCACCACCCGAGATGCTTATTCCGAGTGGCGCCAAGATTTCCAGCCTGAATTGGATATGGAAGTGATAGATGGTATTTACGTGTTAAAGAGGTCCATTTGGGCTGTTTGAGCTGTTTACTTGAGGTTATCGTCTTTATGGTACGGTAACAATATCAGCTAATTCATCGATCAAATCACCGACGCAAAGACACAGCTTTAACGTGACCAAGTATCGTTCACAATGGGGTCAATGGACACCAGGTCAACCTGGACCTGGGACGACATGGTCCAGAACAAACCCGTCGACGAGGCACGACCGATCCGTGTCATCTGCATCGGTGCCGGGGCGTCAGGGATCTGTGCTGGCATCCGGTTTCCGCAGAAGATCAAGAACTTGAATCTCACCATCTATGAGAAAAATGCCGATGTGGGTGGGACTTGGTTTGTGAATAAGTAGGTCAGCCTTGCACGGACACAGACACAGAGGTAGAAGGGAGATTGGGAGCGTGCTGACACTACGACAAAACAAAGATATCCCGGACTGCGATGCGACATACCCAGCCCGGGGTACCAGTTCACCTTCGAGAGCAACTCCCAGTGGTCAGAGTTCTACGCGTCTGGTCCTGAAATTCAGCGGTACCTACAAAACGTTGCGAAGAAATACGGCGTCTACGACTACTGCAAGTTCAAGCACCAGTTCGTCAGCGCAACGTGGCATGAAGACCAGTGCGAGTGGGAGGTCGTCTTTGAAGACCTCGAAGCGAAGAAGGTTCGTTGGCCGCCCGCCCCAGGAACTCGAAGCCGGGTCCAAGAAAGACACTTGGTCCCTTAGATTTATCGCCTCGCTAACCTACGGGACAGAAAGTCATCGACCGGGCCGACATCGTCGTCACCGCCACCGGCATCCTAGACAAATGGGAGTGGCCCGACATCGAGGGTCTGCACGATTTCAAAGGGAAGCTCGTCCACACGGCCGACTGGGATCCTTCGATCCAGCTACACAAGGATTTGAGAGTTGCTCTGGTCGGGGCTGGTTCGTCTGGCGTCCAACTTCTACCCACTCTCCAGCCCTTGGTCGGACACGTAGATCACTATATGAAAGGCAGAAACTGGATTGCCCCCGTCGGCTTTGGCGGCGAAGAGATTGCCGCGAGGGGCGAATACGGCAATTGTGAGCTCCCCAACACCATCCCTCTCTCCAGTTGATGTCCCGCTTTTGCTGATATTGAGTCAAGTCAAACATCCCAAGGACGAACTCGAGCGCTTCCGAAAGGTGCCCAACGCCTACAAGGAATTCCGCGAGCGCATCGAGAACTCATTGAACCAAGCCCAACTCGCCATCTTCACCGGAACAGAGGTGCAGAAGCAGTTCCACCAGATGTGCTACGACTCAATGACGGAGAAGCTCAAAGACCGACCCGACATCCTCAACACCCTCCTGCCAGATTTCCCCGTCGGGTGCCGGCGACTGACCCCAGGCCCAGGCTACCTCGAAGCGTGTCTCGCCGACAACGTCGACTTTATCGGGATGCCGATCAAGAAGGTGCACGAGCACGGGATCGAGACGGCCGACGGCAAGATTCGCGAGATTGACCTGTTGATCTGCGCCACAGGATATGATGTGTAAGACGAAACCAATCCACCCCGTCTATTGCCTGCTCCAAGGGGGATATGTAAAAGCTAAAAGACTTGTCGTTCCACAGGTCGAGACAAGGCGAGCTTCCCTTCGTCGGCCAAGGTGGCATCACGCTCGATGAGGTGTGGAACCCCATCCCCGAGGCATACCTCTCGATGTGTCCGCCGAAAATGCCGAATCTGCTCATGTTCCTCGGACCCAACGGTGGGCCGGGGACAGGAGGCACTATTTTCATGATTGAGAATGTCTGCGACTACATGACCAAGATGATCCAGAAGGTACAGAGGGAGTATATTCGATCGTTTGTGGTAAAGTACGTGTTGGCCCTTGACTCTTTTCATCTCCCATATCACACACACACGTACACACACACTCTCTCTCTCTTTCTCTCTCTCTCCTCCTAGTCTAAAGCTTGAGCGCGAGCACAACTAACGGCCCGAAACAGAGAAGCCGCCAACAAAGCCTTCAGCGCCCACGTCGACCGGTACTTTTCCAAAACCGTCTTCACGGCGCCCTGCAAGTCGTGGTACAAGCGCGGGCAACCCAACGGACGGCTGGTGACGCCATGGCCCGGGTCGGGCGTGCACGCGCGAAAGGCCCTGCAGGAGGTGTGCTACGAGGACTTTGACTACGAGTACCACCCGGTGACCAAGGAGAACAAGTTCGCCTGGCTCGGCGACGGGCTCACGTACGGCCAACAGTACGGGCCCAAGGCGGTCGATTACCTGGACGACATTGATTATCCCGCGGTCAAGGACGCGACCGTCGACACGGGTGTTCCTGCGGTTTGAGAGGATGGGGGATTGTGGCATGATGAGATGTGATGCCCACCTGGCTGGGATTTTGAGGGCGGTGGTACTGAGAAGAAGAAGAAGAATTGTAGGCTCATCTCGTGATAAATATCAATTGTAAAATCCCTGCCCGGTGGTCTTTGCCCATTGAGTCCGATTCCCAAGAGCTACACCTAGAATCCTCGCGTCTTTTGCCTCTGATCTTGTTTCGTATTCAATTTCTTTATTCAGTCTCTCACAAGAGCATGCATGCTGCGCATGGCACCATGTAGTTTCTGTTGTTATCAACAGTTTGCTGTAGCGGACCGGTGCGTCTGGTTTCTAGACTAACCTGGGCCAGACTTGAGCCTGTACCCATCTTCCAAGCAGACCTACAGGGAGTGTGCGAGTACATGGACGGTAGTAGTACCTGAGCAGAAGACAAAGAGAGTACATTCAGTTTATGAAGAATCTGACCCGTCAAGCCATCTCAGATCTTTTCTCGTGAGCTCATAGGGAATGATTACTACTTGCCCTGCCTACCACCATAGACCCTTCTCCCCTTTCTTACCTTTTATGATCCTCGTTGGACGACTTGGAGATTGACCATCAAGGGATGTTTCTCCCACATCATGTAGGTGCCTTGGTCGTCCCAGGGCGTTCGTGCCTGCTGGGGAGTCAGGCTCATGTCGAAGCTCCAGAGCATTTTGGCCAGGATGAGTCGTATTTCCACGTAGGCGAGACTATTCTTGCATGATTAGCGATCACATACACGGAGAGACACGGAGAGTAGTGGGGAGAGCGAGAAGGAAGGTATCAGACTCACGCTTTCCCAATACAATTCCTTGGTCCGAACGAAAAAGGCTGCAACACTTGGGCTTGATCGTTGGCGAACAACTCGGCAGGCAAGTCACCGTCCACACAGTCAGCCGCACTGAGCCACCTCTCGGGTAGGAAGTCATCAGGCCGATAGAAATTGCTGGAACTCCGGTACGCGGCATACTGAGGAACTCCCACTGTCGTGCCGCCGGGAACCCAGCGGCCCAGGACCTCCTCGCCAGCCCCCGGCACCTTTCGTGGAAACGTGACCGGGGCGGGCGGATACATGCGGAAGGCTTCCTGCACAATCGCGGGGATATATTTCAACGCGCCGGTCTTGATCATGCTGATGTCCGCATACGTCTGGAAGGCGCCGCGGACTTCCTTGACCGCGCGTTCGTAGATACGCGGGTGCGTGAGCATGTAATACGTGACACCCGACAAGAGGGTCGCCGATGTTTCGCTGCCGGCGATAATGAGGATCGCTGCAGTTTCTTTGATCTCGTCGAGAGACACTTCCATGCCCTGCCGATCATTCTCTTCTGGCAGGATGTAGCTCATAAAGTCCTTCCTCGCCAGCGCCTTCATGGCCATGCGACGGTCGACTTTGGTATGGGCATTCGCGTCGGCGTCGCGTTTGGCATCGGCTAGCTTCTTTGGGGTGAAGAACGCGGCGATGGACATGATGCCGTAGTAAAGAAACACCTGGTACCACGGGTAAGACTTGACGCTGCTGAAGATGAGGTTGACCCAGGCGTGGTTCTGGCCGTCGCGCAGACATCCGAAGGGCTCGCCAAAAGCCATGTCTCCCATCATATCGAACGTGGCGAAATTGTACCACGACACGAGATCCTGAGGTCCACGCTTACAAGTTTCCTTCAGCCGCGACACGAGAAGATCGACGTAAGTCTGCAACATGCTCTCTTGCTCGCGGAGTGCCTTTTCCGAAAACGCGGGAGCGATCGCGCGTCGAAGGCGTAGGTGGTGGTCATGGGGCGCGTTGATGATAGAATATGCCCCGTTGAAGGAGGGCATGATCCCGGCACCGTCGAGGTCTTTGGGCATTTCCACCGACCTGTGGCCGTAACTGTCGAGACAAGTTAGCTATTTTGCTGGTCTCGGCACGCAATTCAGTTGAGGGGACAATACATCTGCCTCCATGCCGCCGGCTCGGTATAGGAGAGCTCGTTGGGAGCAATCCTCACAACAGGGCCGTATTGCTTGTGGAGTGCCGTGAGTCGCGTGTGGATCTGGCCGCTGGTCGTATTGTAGAACCAGGGAAGTCTGCTCGCGGCCCAGGCTTTGGGGCCCGGGTATCGTCTCAGGGGGTGTAGATACACATTGTAGACTGCGTTGGCAACAGCATACAGCACCAGCTTGCCCGCTCGTTAATGGTTTCATAGCAAACAAGGCGGAAACATACCGAGATAGGGACAGATATGATCACGACTATTACCCTCATTTTAACATTCGCTTCCTCTCCGCTCACATTTGACTAGAACAGTATCAGGCCTGTGAACAAAGCCCAAATCAGCAGCGATGGTACTGGATTTCATGTGTCAATCCAGCAGCAGTGATGCCGATTGCTGAGGGCCATGGAGCTCGTCCCGTCGGAGCGACGCCATCCCTATATACTCTTAGCATGTTTGAGGTCATACCTAGGAGTGTCGAGGGTTTCGAGTCTGCATTGAATCAGCCAGAACCGGAATATGGACGCCAATCCGGGAGAGAGAAAAGTATTTGTCCAAATTCCGCAGTACAGAATGCCGGGATAGTTCTACTCCAGCCTTGTTAGAAACGTTAGCCGATGGATCTCACGTGACGACTTTAAACTGCGCCCCAGCAGACTGAACCGATAATCATTTCGATCAAAGCGTCACCACAGTCAACAATCGCAGCAGTTGCTGTCATTGCAACTCGACATTCCCAATCACGGCGTCGATGGTATGGCACTTTGGAAGGTACAGAAGTAGGCGGCATGCAGGTACTCGTCCTTATATTCTCAGCCAGGTGACCTGTACTTCTGCATCTTGCTGGGGAGACTGCGCCACAACCCCCGCAGGCAAGTGTCCGCTTGTCTCCAACGATATTACCGAGTCCCGGCTATGAGACCTCGACGAACACGTAGGTCAATTGTCCCCCCTCCTGGTCGGGCCGTGCTTCATGTGCGAGAATCTGCTATCTCCATTACGACAGGCAGGTCAACGTCAGAGGGGACGAAGTATCCAAAGGACACCGCGTTTGGGAATCCCTGGGAGTTGATATGCTTCCGTGCCCTGCCGATATTGTTGTTCTCTCATAGTATTCATCCCGGTTGGGCACCGCTACTCGACACCAATAAAGTACAAAGCTGTGGTTTGATGAGATCATCTGGTGAACAGTAAGAAAGGCAATAGCGATACCCCAACGACCATGTCGCACCCACCGCCTGAACGCTTCCTCCATGGCAAAGTCGCCATCGTCACCGGCGCCGGATCTCTTGGTGATGGAATCGGCAACGGACGCGCCGCCGCCCTTTTACTAGCGCAAGATGGTTGCTCGGTGGTGTGCGTGGACCTAAAGCAAAGTCTAGCACAACGGACCGTCGAAATGATTGAATCAGTTGGTCACGGGGCAGGAATTTCCATGGCAGCAGACGTCACCAAGGAGGAGGACTGTCAAAAGGCTGTAGCCCTTGCAGTTGAGAAGTACGGACGTCTGGACATTCTGGTGAACAACGTCGGTAGGTCCCTTTGGCAGTACTATGGGTGATCATAACTTCCTTCTTTGGTATTGACTGCTTTATAAAGGCATTACGGGCCCCAAGGGCACTACGACCGAAGTCGACATGCAGGCATTTTATAAAGCCATGGAAGTCAACGTCGGGAGTATGATCATGATGGCCAAGTATGCGATACCTGCGATGAAGAAGAACGAGGGCCAGTGTGCGGGGGCCATTGTCAACCTCGCCAGTGTTGCGGGTCTGCGCGGTGGCCATCCAGCCATATTCTATCCAACGTCCAAGGGATCCGTCATCAACTTGACCCGTGCCATGGTAATCAATACCTTCTCCAGTCGGGTTGCAGTCAAGTAACGATATGCCAGGCAACACACCATGGTAAAGACCGGGTTAGAGTGAACTGTGTCTGTCCTGGTGAGTTTGACCTCGTTGAGAATCCCACCGCAGCTTGACTTGGGTTGGATTTACTGACCTTTGCGGGACATTTTTGTTTTCAGGAATGGTCTACACACCCATGATGTAGTAGGTGCACCATCCACCCTCCTACACGACAATCATCTTGCAACCCAAAACTTCTAACATGTATTAAACAGTGGCGTCGAGGGTGGCATGTCTGATGCAGAACGAAAAGCTCGCGCATCGCGTAGCATCCTCCGCACAGAAGGGAGCGGCTGGGACGTTGGTTCCGCAGTGCGTTTTCTCGCATCAGACTGTGCTCGATGGATCACAGGTGGGTGTTTCAATTCCACTTGGCCAAGGAGACAGACGAGTGGTGTGGCTTACTCTGACAACGATACTGACCGACCCTTGGTAGGTGCTATCCTGCCTGTCGATGCCGGTGCGACAGCTGCTGTAGGACTGGGTGTCCCGAGCCTTCACGATGCATTTCTGGGAACAGTCGGGGCAAAGTTGTGATAGTCGACCCAACCGTTATGCTGCTAGATCAGGTAATGCCTAAACCATATGAATTTTCCTTGCAATATTTTTGGCATCCATATGGTTCTTCTGCTTGATTGACTCGACCATGAATTCTGAAAAAGGTCAAAGACTCACGCCTCCACTGTTTATGGTTGACGTCCTTCATGGGCTCCAACACCCGAAATCTGCAATAAAGGGTTGCGGTCGCCTATGTACAAAACCCCAGTCTTTCACTCCTCTCCCTCTTCAACCTCATCCATTCTTCCTTTCCATCACCAGCGCCCACCTGTCATAGCCATGTCTGTAATCACGACGCTCCACAAGCGCACATCTCAGATGACCCCCATCAAGCACCGACGTCTGACAAGACCATCATCGGCTCGAAAACTCCCCTGTGTCCCTGAACTATGCAAATGGGTTGCTCACCAATACGGAGTTTGGACGCCTCAAAAAGCCTGATTCGACAAAGCTTGCCAATCTTCAAGAAGACGATTCCTACTACGTTCAATCCCAGGACTATTTCTACCCTGGAGCTATGCTATCTGCAGACTCTGGTACCCAGACTGATGCTGGAATTTTGATCGAGAAAGATGGAGAGGTTCGATTGACAGTAGCTTTTCACTGTTGGGCCGATGAATATGCTGCGACGCCTGACAAGCTCGGACTTCCAGACCACTTTGCAGTCAAGCACGGTCATACCGAAGGATCAGAAGAACCATTGGGACAAGGGGAAGAATGGGTGGGAGGGAGTTGCTCTCCAAGTCCTGACACCAGATATATACATCGATAGCGCACCGAATAAGACAGTGCTCATTGTGCCATTAGCTACCCACCTAATTACCCACCTACCAACACACGCAAGTACTCCCTAGGAATTTTATCTCGGTCCAACCCATCTACTTCTCCGCCATACCACTGTTGACACTGCCCGTGCTGGAGGTCATGCCGCCATCAATAACCAATTCCTGGCCCGTCATATGGCGGGACGCGACGGAACTGGCGAGGAAGAGGATCGCGTTGGCGACGTCGGCGCTGGTGCCCATTTCGCCCGTCGGGACCTGTGCGTTCCTCGTACGCACAAATTCGTCGTAATCGCCGCCGTAGTACTCTGCGATGCGGGACACGAGGGGCGTGGAGATCAGCCCGGGAACGACGACGTTGATCCGCACGCCCTTGTCGGCGTAGTACACGGCCGTGTGCTTGGTGAACATGTGGACGCCGGCCTTGGCCGCCGCGTACGCGGCCTGCGGCTTGCCGATGTACCGCAGGCCGGCGATGCTGCCGATGTTGATGACGGCGCCACCAGCGGGTTGGGCGGTCAGCACGGGCAACACAAAGTGGCACATGAGGTAGACGGATTTGAGGTTCAGCGTGAGTTCCTGGTCCCACAGCTCCTCGGGCATTTCGACGGGCCCGCCGCGATGCGCGCCCCCGACGTTGTTGACGAGGATGTCGACGCGGCCGTTGTGGCGCTGTGTCACGGCGCGCACGAACGCCTCGATCGACGCTGAGTCCGTCGCGTCCGCGACCGCCACGTCCACGACCGCGCCCGGCACGTGCTTCTCGATCCGCCGCTTCGTGCGCTCCGCGGCCGCCAGGTCCACGTCGCATCCAAACACCTTGACGCCGGAGCGGGCGAGTGCGAACGCCGCCGCGGCCCCGTTACCCCAGTTGTCTTCGACGGCGGGGTCGCCGAACTGCCCGATCCCTGTCACGATGGCCACTTTGCCTGGAAGGTCCGGGTATATGGGGATGGGCTCATCTTGGAACGCCGGTCTGGGTCTGTTGTGTGTGGACGTGGACGTGAACGTGGACGTTGCCATACTGGTGGTGTTTCCCGTATCGGATTTCGGATGTCAGATCTCAGAGAGAGGGGGGGATGGTGTGTCGGGTAGAGGATGTACGGCAGCAGGCACTAACTAACCAACTTCAACTCAACTCATGACATGGCATGGAGGTCGATGTAGCCACAGACAAACCAACAGAGTAATGATCCTGAGGGGAAGTAAGTGTAGAGTGGTAAGTGAGAGGAGAGAAATCCGGTCCCGCACAAACACACAGACCTGATCTATTTGTACCCGTAGTTGTAATTCAATTCGGACTCCCTGAGTAGGTGGGGAGTGAGTGAGTGAGTGGCTGCTCATCATCGTCCGGCAAACAAGTCATACTGGTTGACTGGTCGAATAACCTGACAGCCGCGAGGAGAGGAGAATTCACTGGACGAAAAACTCCAAAAAAAAAAATCTCTCCGAGGCTTTGGATCCGAGAATGTTGGAGTAAGAGACCAAGTACGCCCTCGATCTCCTCGTGTCGGACCCCGCGAGTAGATATGTGGCGTACATACATACATACAAAGCCTATCGAGATACCCGCGGTTTGCAAGACTGAGCTATTTGAAAGAGTGGATGATTCCGGGGGGCATTGAGCTCTGGTCGTCAAAAATAGCAGGTTACCAGGTACTCATGCTACCAGCATTCATTCAAACGACAAGCTGAGCTGAGCTGAGCCGAGCTGGTTGGTTATGTGACACAGTGAGATAATGTCTAGAAGAAGGAGATGATCAATCAACCAGCTTGACTAGCTGACTGCGAACTGCGAACTGCTTTGGTCGTCTCTTCGATGGCTTCGCGTCAAGAGGACCACGTCACGTCACATCAGCGGACGAGCATGGCAGGAAGCCATTCATCTCCCAGTCCTGCCTCATCGCTCTGAGCAGGGGCAGGGCGAGGATACCTTTTCCCATTGATTCATTCTATCTCATCAAAGGCAAGGTACATGCCATATGCCATATCTGCATATCTGCATATCTGCACACCTGGATCTGGAGTCATGTTGTTGTTGATGATGATGTTGCCGTCCCCTTCTGTAAGTGTAACGTATGTTAAGTCTCGTCCTGAGCCCTGCACAGTAGCATAATGCAGCAACGCCGACCATCTTCTTTATCGTCCTCTCTTGAAAAGTCAGTCTTCCTCGTTGCCTTCTATGATCTCGTAGCCCTCGCTGCCACCAATGTCGTCAGAGTCGTCATCCTCGTCCTCATCATTATCTTCGTCATCGTCATCGTCATCGTCATCCTCGCCATCGACGGCTTTCAACCCGTAATCGTCCTGGAAGTAATTCAGGTCGCGGATTTCAGGTGAAAAGCCCGCGTCTTTCAAGCCGCTCTCGATCCCCTGTCACCACATGGAAATAGTCAGCTCATAAAAAGTCCGAGAAAAACATAGACATGCCCACATATCTCTCACGACGGGGATGACAGGAACAAATTCGGTCCAGGCACAAAAAAACACTCACCTCCTTCAGCCCGGGTGCACAAGTCACGATGATATCCGCCTTCTCAGGCACAAAGACATTAAACACCACTCGCTGTAGCGCGTCCTTGATATCTGACACGCTGACTTCTCTCACGCGTTTCAACATTCTTTGCATGTGATCATCCGGCAAACGCTGCATCACGCTTCGGATAAAACTCATCGCTGCAGCGCTTGCCAGCGTGGCTTGCTCGTTTGCAAACATGACCACGATGGAACTGATGGCTCCCTCCAGCATGAGCGGGTCGAAGTCGACTGCTCCGGTCATGTAATCCGAGATGATCTTCCGGGACGCTTCGAATGCCTTGTACGCATCGGGCGAACGGTAGACGTCAAGGTGGATGAAGCCAGATTCAATGTCAAAGCCCATGTTGGTCCCATAGGCTAACCCAGTGCCTCGTACAGCGACCCAAAGTGGCCCTTCCACAGCGTTCATATACGCCAAAGCGACCATGATGGCCGGCAGTTGCGGGTCGTCGTACGAAGTCGGTCCACGAGCCACGGCAAATGCAAAAGATGAGTCGATCGTGGCCATGGGGACGACGTATGCCAGTTTTCCCGGGTTCTTGCCAGCCTCGCTGAGTCGGTCGATTCGGCGGCCAATAGGGGTCAGCTCGTCGGTTGGTTCCAACCGCTCCAAGAAGGGTTTCCAGGTGCTCACAGGCTTCTGAGCCTTCTCGAGGTCAGTGATGACCAAGATCCGATAGTTCTCGAAACGACACAGTAAATTGCGCAGTCGTTCCAGTTGGCTCACCACTCGCTCTGGATCAACCTTGAGCAAGTGCCTGATGCGCTTGAGGTAAAGCGCCTTGACCAATATAGTCCTCGCACGCGTTATCGACTTGGGTGCCAGGTGCGTCATGAAGTGAACCGTCATCATCATGTCATCGCCACTGCGCTTCGCATCCGGCACATCTGCCAGAAGACGGGTATTGACAGCCTTGAGCCGTTCCACATCGAAGATGGAGTTGTAGAGTAGTTCGGTCAACCACTTGACGGCCACAGCGTACCGTTCGTTCTCCACCTGGAAACTTATCCGTATACCTTCGACGTTGCCCAGATTGTTCGCTGCATCGATAGAATAGCCGACGGTATCCCGCTCCAGTTCGGTAACTACCTGCCGGAAGTCAATGGTCTCGTCACCTCGCTTGATCGGTAGGCTGAAGAAAGCTTCCATATAGATCGCCAGGAGGGGTCGAAGGTCGTCTGGGAGAGTCTCGGTCGAGATGACCAGGTGCACTCGAGTGAAGTTTGTCGGGATGTGTTCGAAATTAAGAAAGAGTGGTACATCTTTTGCATCCCCATCGATGATTTTCTGATACTTGTTGTCTCGCTTTCCGAGATCCAATGCCCGACCTGCTCGAGCGCCTGGGATTGTCACAAAATGGATCGAATCCGTCAGGGGCACTTTGAATTTTCCCAGCAACTCCCTCGGGATCTCGCGGTCGTTCTCGGCCTTTGCTGCATCCAGTTTTTCCTGCATTTTCTTCAGCCCCTCGGGTCCTAGTCTGGCTTTCTGCTCTTCGATTCGATTCGCTTCATCCGTCTTCAGCTTCTCCGACAATCGCGCCGAGGGAACACCCAGGATCGACACATGAGGGGCATCCGAAATATACTTTCTGATATAGGCTTTCCACTGGTCTTCCGTCCAGCTTGTAAGCGTCTTGATATAATGTTTCAATGATTTCGCAACCTCCAAGGTCGACCCATCTCTCTTTCCATACAGGTAGTCGGAAATGATAAAATCTGCAAAAGCCGTGGCGGAGCCTTCGGCATTGTACTTGGTCGTTCTTACTACACGGTCGATGCAGTCCTTCATGAAATCCATATTCAGGGGCTGTTCCATGGCCTCTTGTAACACCTCAAAGAAACGTTTCTCGACCTCTTCCAGCCGCTTGGTTTCGACACTGGACATGGAAAACTGAATCTCCGTTCGCGGGCGGCTATCGAGTTGGTAGAAGACACCGCTGGCCAACTGCTCCTTTTCCACGAGGACGTGGTCAAGCACCGCCGCTGAAGAGCCGGCGAGATAGTTGAGGGCAACATTTAGTGCCCCTAGCTCCAGAGCGTCTGCACAGTTGGGACCCAAAAAGCGAATGTCGACTTCGCCGAATGACTCGTCCTCCTCGGGAAACTCGACTCTTAATAAAGTCGTCTGATCCAATGCGGGTGCAAGTTTGGATTCGATCCACGGCCGTTTGAAAGGGGCGTCGGGACTGGGGATATCCGGTAGGATTGACGTTTCGAATTCGTCCAGGATGGCTAGTAACTCGTCGTGGTTTGCCTCACCAAAGATCGCCACACAGAGATTCTTGGGCTGATACATTTCCCGGTGAAATTCTCGAATGCGGTCGGCGGTAAGGACGCGAAGTTGTTCCAGCATCCCTCCTGTCTCGTAACGATAGCCCACCCCTTCGGGATAGAGGATTCGTTTGGACTGGAGCTCGATCAACTCCGACGCCATATTTTGCACGCCCTGCATCTCTGAGTACACCACTCCAGCATCGTTGCCACTTCCGTCAATGTGATGAACCTCGGTTGTGCAGCCCGCATCCGTCAGTGTGGGCAGAATGACGTGTTCCAGGTAGACCGGGAGAATTTGAGCAAAGCCCGCCCAGCCCGCCGTTTCTAGAGTGTATGCTGTGTGGTCCGTCGCTGTCCATGCGTTGGTACCCGCATACGCTCTCGTGGCGAGTTTGTCCAAGAAGCCCTTGTACTTGTAGTTCTTGGAGCCCATGAAGCACAGATGCTCCAACGTATGAGGTGCCCCCGAGTCATCGTGGATTTCAGTGGCCAGCACGAAGAAGCCATGCAATTTAGGGCCTTCCTGGTCGACCACGATCACTCGCATACCAGTGCGTTCAGACTCATACTGGGTGATTGTGCAGGGGCAGTAATCTGGCTCGATTCGTTGGCATTGTCGAAAGCGGGGCTTTGCCCGGATGGAGACCATGTCAGCGAAAGAGAAATGCTTTTTGAGCGGTTGATCCAGAGGCGAGATACGCTGCTGAGTTATCCACGTGAGATTAGCCAGATGGACGCTGCTGGAATGGAGCAGCGGGAGGAGATGTCGAGCGTATCCGAAGTCAAGAGCGCCAGAAAGCAAACAAGCAGGGAAAGTAGAAAGACAAGACCCGCGTGCATGTACTTTTGGTCACCCTTGGGCACCAGACATTCTTCCAAGCAGAGAGGTCGACAAGAAATGAAAAAAAGGGGCTAGGCCTCAACTCGTCGTGGACAGCCTTGTCCTTATCATCGACTCACCAGTCAGCTGACGTGCAGGTTTGCCTCTTCTGCTCTTTCTTGTTCAACACGCTGTGCAACCCCCTCGACTAAACAGGGAGTGCTAGAGACAACCGACAGCACCAGAGCACAGCGAGTAGCGAAGCTCGAACGAGGTTGGCCCAACGAACGTGGAGGGTTTGACGGCGAAGGCAGCAACGTCCTCGTGTTCGTCCAACGTTCGCTTGGCTTGCGTCCCAGCGGGTCTCGCTAAAGTGACCAACGGAGAGAGAAGTAGAGCGACAAGGAGTTCTCTCGAGGAAATGGCTCGGCCAGGACTGTGTTCGCCAACGGCAGCCAAGTCAGCAATGAATGCAGTTGGCTTCGTCACCGCCGCCGAGTCCGACATTCAAAGACCTCAAGTCTTGGCATGTGGCACAATTCGATTGTGATTGTAGGTCACGTGAGTAGCAATTCAACGTGCCAGAGAAATACCTTGGCATGTTTATATCACCAAACCCGTAAGTCTACTAGAAATTTAACTAGTCTAGATACGGTTAGTTGCCGGAAGAACTAGTCCTCGTCGTGTTTGCAGCTTTTCTTCTCCTTTCGGGACAACAAGTCTGCAAGTTCAGCATATCAAGGACAGTGTGATGAAGAAGCCTCAGGCAGGACTGTGATGCCTACAGGTCCGAAGCTTCAAAACTAGATACTCCACTTATCCACTCCAACAAATGGTACCTATATATTTAGGTAGGGATTTGGAACACGATCCGGGAGTACCACCCTGAACAACCACCGAATCAAGAAGACATCTCGCCCCATGATAAGATTGCTGAGATCAAGCAACCTCCCCTCGCGCTATGAACGACTCCAACTCCATCTCCTGGCCAAATAACGTCACCTTGAACGGTCGCTCGATGACCACGAACTCAAAGTTTCTACCCATGCCGGCACCGTGGAAGTACTTGCGCATATCCTCTTCGGTGAAGCCGTGCTTGTTGATGGTCTGTAGAACGTTTCTCGCCGACTCGGGGAGGTCTTTACCTAGCAGCAATTCGGGTCTCTCGTCTGAGAGAACCCGGTCGAGGACCACGCAGACACCCCCCGGGCGTAGTGTCTTGGAGAGACGACGTAGCAGTCCCTCGGGGTCGGCGACGTGGTGGAGCGCCGCACAGACGACGGCAATGTCGAAATCAGAGAGGGCCGGGTCGGTGGGCTGTGGTTCCGCGAGTAAGTCGCATTGAAAGGCGTGGGCTTTGGCATGAGCATGGCCATCCAATCCTTCAGCCCATTTATTGTACTCGGCCACCATGTTTGCAGAAAGGTCAACCCCTACTGCTTCGGTGACGTAGGGAATCAAGGCCTATTACGAACAGGCACCAGGCCAGAGTGCGACTTCGTGTCAGTGCTTGCTTTGCTTCCAAGCCCTCTGCCGTGATCCGTGATCACTGACAGACAGACCGGGGTCCAAGACATCTGTACACACATACCTTTGAGACCGTTCCCGAGCCACAAGCATAGTCGAGCAACTTGACTGGATCTTTCCCATCTGTTGAACTGCTGTCGGACCCCAACTTGGCCGAGATCCACAATCTCCTCTCCTTCAACTCCTCAATGACCGCCTGTATGAACGGTGCCCAGGTATCCTGGTGACTCGAGGCGACTTGACTAGAAAGCTCGAGATTTGGTCAAAAACGTCGCTCTGACATGGGGTAAGTTCACCGAGATACGGGTGGGGTCCATACTCAAAGTGTTCGCGGTTGCGGGTCGTGATATCGGCCATTTCTCTCTATCTCCCAGAACTGCTATTGTAATATTGTAAATGCGTGCTGCCTTTGAACAGTTGACTCCACTGCCTCTTTTTTGCTGGACCAAGGGAACTCGCATATGGATGGGTAGGTAGGACCTTGTGAGATATAGATATACACAGATGGGAAATGGTTAACTTGCCTACCCCAGAACGGAAATCCTCCTGCGAATAGAGGAAAGGTAACTGAGGACCTTGACCCCGTCCAATGACGGAGTAGGTATTTCCCCCTTGGTTCTCCATCTCAATGGCGCAAAAGTCTCCGAAGTGTCCATATACACCATAACGCGGATTTACAGCAGACCAGGTCGTGAAAGCGGTGGCAGGTCTCAACGGATGACGGAGACTTTCGAGACGGAGACTTTTTGTAAAACGTCCAGAATCTTTGATCTTGATGGATCGGAAGACAGCCGCAGAGAAAGGCAGGGTGAGTGAGTGGCTGGTTGGTATCGTATCCAGCTCGCCACGACAGACAGACAGACAGAAATGCTCCGAAGGATTGACTAGGACAAATAACAAACCTCCAAGTTATCAGCGGCCACAAACGCCGCCCTGGAAATATACCTACATATATGTTCATACACCAACCTAGTACACAACGATTGAGAACACACTGTGCAAAGAGCTGCCTTTCACCGTCGACGACGACACAACCTTGTCTTGACATTTGATATAAAAGACCTGTCACTCAATACACCCTAACAAAAGGTCCTCTTATTATTTTTAACGGCCGCATTGATTTCATGATTTGTCACTTCTACACCAACACCGCTGCAGTAGCGGCGCCTTTATAGATATCCACGATATCCCACCAAACCATCATAATTCCTCAACCAGAGAGAGGAGGAGCAACTACAAATGTCCCGCCAACCCAGCCAACGCTCCAAACGCCGCTCTCGGGTCGCCCTTGAACCTCTTCTCCGCGACCTGCCAATTGACGACGTCCCAGATCTTGTTGAGGTATTCTTTCTTGTTGTTGAAGTATTGCAGGTAATACGCGTGCTCCCACATGTCGACGCCCAGCACGATTCCCTTGCCACCTTTCGGTAAATCCTGGTCCTTGCTCGTGGTCAACTCGAGGGTCTTTGTCTGCGGATCCTGCACCAGCCACTGCCACCCGGAGCCCTGGATCGCGAGCGCAGAGGACTCAAAGGCCGCCTTGAAGGCGTCGACGCTGCCCCATCTCTTGGTGATGGCGTCGCTGAGCGTGGGGGCCACGGCACTCGCGGAGAGGTTATTGAGGCCGCTCGACGCAGGCGCGAGTGATTCCCAGAAGAGCGTGTGGTTGATGTGTCCGCCGGCATTGAAGTTAATGGCCGCTTGGAGCTCGAGTTGCTTCACGAGGTTATTAGCCGCCGCCGCCTCTGCTTGTGCACCGAGCGCTGCGTTCAGGTTGGTGATGTATGCCCTGTGGTGCCGGTTATAGTGCAGGTCCATTATCTGGCCTGATATAGAAGGTTCCAATGCCTGTTTGGACGGACGCGAGGTTGGTCAGCTCAGCGTTCCGCCGGTCCAGGACAGTCTCTGACTTAGCTGGCCATGTACGCGCCAGGCAAAACATGTCCCATCGGGTACTTACATCGAGGCTGTATTGGAGTGGAGGAAGCTCGTAAGTCACAGGCATCCTGCTCAAATAGTGGCTAAAGTCACGGCTTGTAAATGGCGTCTGGGTGGGATGCTTCCGGGAGATCTGTATGTTCCCTAGTAACAGCCAGCCTGATAACCCGACAGTCAGAGGAAGCGACAAACAAAGTGGGAGGTCCAACAATATAAATGGTAGATGATCCCATTGCTGTCGATGGCACCATCGGCAAAGGATCTTAATCCCAATGCAGGAGGTTGAAACTTGCTCAACCTGCTCATGGGAACCAATCTGAGCACGTTCTGGCACACTGCTCCGTGTAAGCAACTGAGGACCTTAAGATCCGCGATCCCCCTCCCAAAGAACCCGACACCGGATCACATCCAGGCTCTAGAACAATGGTCTCTCTGTAAATATGCTGGGCTCGTGTTCAGAAGCAGTCCTTTGTAGCGGTCGACCGAGCCTCTGCGACCGAAGATTATCGCGAGGCCATGTGTCACCAGTTCAACCCCCGGCATGCTCCTGCGGGTGATCTTGTTGCCATTCTACACCGTATCCAGGACGACAATCGAAACAGGACTGCTGGCAATGCGTGTTGGTGCCGGTTGCTGCTCAGCAAATCGTGTGGGAGCGAGATAGTGGGAGAGTTGAGGTGCGAGGAACCAACTCAGGCCGACAAGCTTCAAGGTCAGAAGCTCCATGTGACTATTTGGTATGGCACTCGGTTCTGTCTCCTGCTCTTCTGCTGTTCTGCTCTTCTGATATCGTGCCAGGACGTATGCAAACGAGCACATCCATGCGGCACCTGCTCGAAAGCAACGAGTTCCCAACCCTGTCTTTGCACGCTTTCCGCTGGTGACCGGCGCTGGTCCTACCATTGTCAGTCGCGCTTCTCGTGATACCGATGGCCGTGATGAGTGTGGTCGCCGAGATTTTGATCTTACAGTCGACGAACGAGGCATTGTGGGGAGAGAAGTCGACGTTACCAATGAGCAGGGCCAAGTGCTAGGAAGAGGCATAATCGGTTGGAATTGACATGGAACAACGGCACCGACGACATATTTGTTCTGTTGAAGCGCTTGTAATCATACATCGGATGGTCGTCGATTGCTATGCGCTCATTTTGGTCTCGCTGGCGTCACCATCAGTCTTTTTTCGATAGAAGATCGACGTGATGCTCTCGTTTTACTTTTACATCATCTCAACACCGCTTGATTTCCTGGGCAACCACACACGTGCATCCACGATGATGGTGATCAGTGAGAGGACGGGATACTGCGACAGGGTAAGCAAGGGAGAATATCGGGCTGGTTGACAATTGTGATAATTATGATGCAGAATAGGAATGCCATGTCGGAGTACCAAATATATATATACATAAGATAGATAAGGAGGAAGGCTACTGACCCATCAACGCTACCAACACCACAGGGTGGCAGAATAAGTAATATCTACCATTTGTGTACATCACTTTCATCCTCCAAACAAACAATTCGTCTGTCAGTCCAATAGAGCCATTCCCATTGGGCATCTGGCTTACAATATCTAGTACCTCCCTCGTATACTCACGCCCATCTCATCGCATGGCAACTGGATCTCATATACAGACACACCAGGCGCTTGTCAGGACAGGTGGATTTGTGATTATTTTACAACTATGCAGTTTGTGCGGATAATATGTCTGGAAGTTCCATCTCAACCTCTATGCATCCAAAAAACTGAGGTTTCTGCCAGTCTCGCGCTTTGTACCATTACCCAGATTAACTTTTTTCCCCAAATCCCGCCAGAATGCTGATATATAAACTTGCCGTCTCAGAATTCCAAATACTGCAGTCGCCCTCATCCTTTCGTAAGAACGCCCCCATGGGACACGAGAAAATGTCTAAAATGCCGGTTCGTCACGAGGCGTTGGCGTATAACTCCGACAGTGTATTCTGTCCTTTTCGGAGTGCCCAGGTCTTTTGCTTCTTATCTTTCTTCATCTTCATCTCAGCCCAGCCTTGCTCGTCGTCTTCATCGTCCTGGTTTGCCAATGGGGATCTCCGACCGAGAGTGTTCACCGAAGGCTTCGCAGCGTGCGTCGACGGTCGCTGCCCTGGGTCCATTGAAGACCAGGGTCGCACAGTGGACGATGTAAATGTCGACGCGCGATGATGCGTGGACATCACTTCTGGCTCTGGGGCTGTGGATACAGGCCGGTATCTCGGAGCTAGGCCGATGTTGCTGCGCTCAGACGGTGCGATCGAGGGAGCATAGTTACCATTGACATTGATGGACGGCAACATCGGTGGCTTGGTGTTCCAGGGCGCCATGCTTGGATTCAGAGTACTCATGGTCCGTTGATTCAGCTGAGGTGGCGTGCCATTCTGCATCGCCAATGATTGAGGTCTTGCAAACGCAGGATTCGGTACACCAGGAGGGGGCAAGTTTGGCCCAACCATCATGTTTGACATTTGTTGCATCCATTGCATCTGCATCTGCATCATTTGCGTCATCTGTTGGGACATTTGGATTTGCGCTTGATCACCAGGAGTCAGCATAGGTGGCATCCCTGGCATCATCCCCGGCATTCCTGGCATCCCTGGCATGGCCGGTGCTCCCATGGGTGGATAAGCCATCGAGGATAGAGCCCCGGTCGTCTGAGATCGTACCATGCCAGGAGGGGGTCCTCCCATGGGAGGCAAGTCATAGTTGCCAGCAGGGTTCGGGCTTCCTCGTCGAGCAGCTCTAGCGCGTTCTTCGCCAGCGATAACTCCGACAAGCCCTGCAGGGTGAATGGGATGGGCTGTTGCAGGTCCCGCTCCCTGTGGCGGGGCTTGAGGGTGAAGCGCCAGAGCTTCACGATTCGAAGGGTTTACCAGGCTGGCTCCATAGTAAGGGTCCGGGGGTAGTTGTCGAGCAAAGACTGGCAAATTGCCGCCTTTAGGAGCTTGACTGACCACAGACGGAGCCCCTTGGTTCTGGCTGACACTGCGCAAATTGGAGTTGGAAGGAGAATTTGCAAGTCGTGTGGGAGGCCTATTTCTGTTCGGGAAACCGTGGGCCGCAAGAATACCAAGTGGCACATCCTCATCTTCGTCCTCCTCCTCTCCGCTACTTTTACCAGACTGCTTCGAGTCCAATGTCATCCGTGACAAGCGGTTGAGATCCGTTGCCGAGTTGTTGTCACCCGCTCGCAGCATGCCGAGGCTGCTCATTGATCGAGTGGCTGGTGCTTCGCCTGTTACCTTCATCATCTGTTGCCGGTACACAGCCAGGTGGGCTTCTTGTTTTCGACGCTGCTTAGTTGCTTGTCGGCTGCGTTCAATCTCGTCGTCATCGTCTTCAGCATTGTCACTCGCCTCAGAAGCACTGTCGTCAGACAGAGCACCAAGCCGTCGGTCCATCTCCTTTTGTTCCTTGTACCGTTCCCACTGAGCAGGCGTCATGACTTTATTCATGGCAACCGATTTGACAGGAACCGACTTGGTTTCCTGATACATGTCGGCAAGCTGCGCATCCGCTGCAATATTCGGATCAAACGAGGCGCTATGTGTCGAGCTCGGGGACAATCCCGCCATGTTGTCCCGAGCAGGGCTTGTCAAGGCAGTACTGCTGTCCGCAGACCTGGTGTGTAGCAACTGAGAGGGACGTAATTCCTCCTCATGTGCAACGGATGCCGAACCTCCCAACCCTCTCGCAGTAATTGTTGTATCTGACATCGAGCCGAATCGTCCAGGGCGGGAGCCAGTGTCTCCAGCTTTCATCGGGCTTCCTTGCGTAATAGTCTTAGACGGACTAGGGGACCGTATCAAATGATCATTGGAATCCTGTGACGCCCATGAATAAGGAGAGGATTCAACGACTTGCGAGCGATCCGTGGAGATAGGCTTCGGAGGAGGTGCTCGATTGACACGAAGTGGACTATTGCCTGGATAAGAGGTCGGAGGATATTGTGTAGGAGCAGGAGAGATCGAAGCCTTTGAAACATCAGCATGGAATATTGTCAAAACGTTCGGAGCTTTCTCCTACCTCTTGGTGTATAAGCCGGCTTGGGGGCGCGTCAGGGCTAGACCCGATATGGTCAAACATGTTTCCGAACTCATCCAATTCGGAATTCTCCAACGATAAGTCGGTATCAAACAGTCTGGGAGGCGTGGCCGTGCTTGCACTACTTGACGTGACCGCCCTGTTTCTGCTCATGTCCTTCAAAGGCGGTAAAGCACCACCTGGTGAGGTGGGCGATCCTCGACTGCCTTTCACGAGCCCAAAGGAAAATGTCCTAGTGGGACTGCGAAGGAAGCCAGGCCTTGTCGAAACAGGCGGCGGCGGCGCGGGGATATCGTTGAACGGTCTTGACCCAGCACCTCCTTGGACGTTCTTGTCCGACCTTGTGTCAACGGAAGAGGGATTTGTCGACGAAGTACTGAGGCGGGCGGACGATGCGGCACTGTCGTTAGGCGCGGTTGAGTGGGATCGTTCAGTACCACCACTTCCCCTAGACACTATTGTCAGTCCTTTACCCTTCATATGGTCGACCGTGGTTGTATTCTTCGCGTACCGGTTGCTTGCATCAGGGCGGCCCACTCCAAATAAATCTACCTCCTCGTGGTCGCGTCGATCTTTCGGTGGTGGCAATGGTGCTCCTCCAAGAGATGCCATCTTCAAATGTTTGCCGCCATCAAATGATTTTCCGCTACTCTGTGGCCTTTCCAAAACTCGGAAGGAAGCCTCCCCAGGCGGGTTGCGCACCTCGTCCAAGGCATGGCCTGAAGATTTCCGTCGTTGAAACCCCTTGGGAAGCTTGATTGGCATGAAGGTGGTTTCGGCGGAACGCGACGGTACCCGAATGGGGAGGACTGTTCAAGGACAAGGTGTCTGACAAGAGGCTTCGAGATATTCGGTCCGCGGCCAGGAGGCAAAGAGGTTTAGCTGTGCAAGACTAGGGACGAAAACATGGAAAGCAGTCGGACAGTGAACGGTAACCTGCATACAGAATGAGGTCAGCAGCCAATACCCGGTTGGCCTTGAAGGAGAGAATCAATGGATGCCCTACAACGATGTTTTGTTTTAGGGCCTTTTCCCAATTTGTTCTCGTCAGCAACCGGCGACCAGAAGGGACCGATGCCAAAAGTCTGAACTGGTGTGCTGTCACGGGGATAATGATGCTTGTGGCTGGACCAAGTGTTGATGTCAGATGGACGAAGTGATATGTTTATTTTTGTACTTGTATAAGCGAAAGAATGCCCGCAGGGGGGTGGTGGTGGTCGTGGTAGGGGGAACCGAGGAAATTGAACGGGCAGGCGTCAAGAAAACTCTAGAAGAAGAGGAGCGACGAAAACAGCAATTGAGTTATCCAAAAACTGGAGGAGATGGACAGATGCGAAGGATGCAGATGGCGTACTGTTCTGAATGAGAGTGAAGAAATGTGAAAGGATTGAATCATGGGCAGAACAACAAGCGACCGGCCAGTTTTGGGAGTTGCGCAGGCGCAGGTGCATTGGTTACTGCAGAATGCAGGTTCAGACGCAGGTGGTAGGTGGTATTAGTGGACGTGGGTGGATGGAATGGGCATTTAGCGGGTGCAGGGCACCTGGCCAGCTGGGAGCGAGGGACACAGGTTCAGGCTATTACGAGGACTAGTTTTACTGGGCACCGCCGAGAAACAAGGGAGGCTCAGGTACCTAAGGGGGGTGGGTGATCCAAGCCCTAAAAAACAAGTTGAGGCCAGTAAGACACGGCGGGGGAGACGCGAGGGCCAGGGGACACCGGGGTGGGCCAGCCACCGTTTATTTGGATCGCGCCTTTGGCACCATCGGACACCTGGGTAGCCTTTTCACCGGGCGGCCCATTAGAATTTAGGTGCCACTGGTGCCTATGGCGCCCATTTGCACTCCACCGGTGCCACTCTTTGCCCAAAACACCCCAATAATAATAATGACAACCGTCAACAGCGTGTGGGTAGATTGACATACAGAACTGCTGCTCGTGAGGCCCGTCATGCATAGCCCACACCTGTCCTTACTTGTACAGGGCCGTACACGCCTAGCCAAATGAGATGAGGACATCGTATTGATTGATATTTCATCGAATGATGAATTTGTTGATTGATCTCCCTTACTCAAAAAGTCCAATCCTCCTTGCTCGCTACCCCCATCTTGTTGTTATTGCCTCCTCCATCTCCAAATCCACTCTTGTGTCACTGCCACTCGCAATTTTTCATCTGCGGCGTCTTCCACTAAACTCTGTCTATCCTCAGACCTCCGGATCTCTGTGTGATGTGGCTAGGCCTCTAGCCTCCATTGTTGCATGCAACACCACCTCGACCTGCCACTTTTGTAGGCTTTCGGCCTTTTCATCTCCGCCTCTCCGAGATCTTCGACATGCACGTGTTGCTTCTTTGCACGGTAACAGCCAATGCCCTCGGTCCATGTTGGCCGCCCAGGTCATTTCGCACGCAAGTGCTCGGGGTATACGTAAAACGCCCAGTTGCGGCTTGGTGTGCTAACCTTTGTCCGCTTTTAAAAAGTCCGCTAGGTTCCTGGAATTCCTCGCGTCTTTCGGCGTCCTTTAGCGCCAGCCTTTTCTGTGGTTCGCCCTTTCACCGCACGGTGTACCGACCAATAACGAGGAAAAACCTTGTTGTCGGATAATAATGTACCAAAAGGAAGAGGTCAAGGTCTTGCCGACCGAGACGAAGTGTAGAAGCCAGGCCACTCAGAGTCGAGGCGTCATCCTGGTCTGTCCGTCTGCGGCTTGCAGTAGCTTGACCGCCTCCGCAAAGGCTTGACAATGTTGACGGGTCACCTTCTCGAGAGCTTTGTTAACGTCAAACCCCAGGGAATTGGCCGGTGACAACCTTCTCTTGTGACTCGTGGTGGGGACATTGCCCCTGGACACATGTTCAAGGCTGGCCGTCACTACGGTTGATCTGGACAGCTTTGTCCTCACCTGCGCTGAGAATGCCAACCTCGTGGTGCCAACACACCCCAAAGACTTTGACACCGTCACCACCCGCAGGATTGGCAGCACCATTCAGGCTCGCTCTTGGCAATATATACAGGCTCTGTCCGACAGCACCCTCTTTCTCCTGCTTGGTGCTCCGGACATCCCAAACTCTACATGTCCCATCATGGCTGCCACTGACAATGGTGTAGTCGTTGGTAGGATCTCGGGCCAGGCTGACAACTGAATTTTTATGGCCTTTTAGGGTCATGGCCGTGACTGCGGTAGCGGACGTCCGTGGGTCCACCAGCTTGACCACGCGGCTTACTGAACCGGCCGCAATAAGGTGAAGAGAAGGCATATGATCAATGCAGAGCAATGCACTTGATGTAGTCCGAGTGTCAACCAGCGAGGCAGTGACCAAATCCCAGGTACGGACCGTTTGATCCCAGGATGTTGAATAACCCACCGTGGGATCATGGAGGTCGAACATCGCTCCAGAGACTGGACCTGTGTGCTGCTGCATCAGCGCGAGCGGCCCACGCTGCGACACTGATACCTCGCTGTTCAATTTCCTCCTCTTGCCATCTTTGGTCCTTGCCTTCGGGACTAGAGCCTCGGGTGCTGCAGGTGCATCTGATTTTCGGGTAGACCAGATCCCAACAGAGTGGTCAGAAGAGGCGGAGAGTATGCGGGAAGAGGCAGCATGGGCGCAAACCGAATCTACCGAAGATTTGTGCCCATAGAGCTCGATCTGGGGCGAGAGGCTGGCTGCAGACCCGCTCTCATCCTCTGTGTATTTCCACAATCTTAAGGTGCGGTCAAAGCTCCCTGAGACTGCTTGAGTTGGGGATATGAATTTGGCAGTCTTGACGAAGGATCCATGACCGCCATGGCTCACACCGGGAGATGTTGCGAGAATCTGAGAGGAGGAATTCCATACTCTTAACAGCCCGTCATAGCTCGCAGTGAGGATTCTCGGAGAGGTGGTGGACACGACGTCAACGTCACTGACCCAGTCGTCGTGTTCGAAGGACGCCACATATTGGGGGGGAATGCGTGCTCGCACATATTCGATCGAGACTGTCGTCTCTGCGGAGATACCGTTGCGTGTGAGGTACTCATCCAAGGTAGTTCGAAGATAGGTACCATTGATGATAAATTCCAGAGGGATCGTTTTCTCGGTTTCAAGGAGGTTGTTGACGAGGGTAGAGAGTGTAAGACGGCGGAAAGACGTGGGAACAAGGATAGGAGCTAGGTCCTGGACAGCGAGATCTGTGTCTCGAGTGGTTAGTCTCACCCGAACTTGCGCTTGACTTCCTGAGGCACCGGCGGTGCCGGCGCCTGGTGATGCAGCCATAGTTGAAGCGTTTCGCTATCTGCTCTGAGATGGAGGCGCCAATCTGGCTGCTGGTAATCTGGTGCTCAAAGGGGCGTTTCGTGAAGTCTGGTAATGGAGAAATCAATTTTGCTCCAGCAATGCTTTTGTCTCAGATTCTCAGACTCGGTGTTGCCAAGCGTAAGCGCTGATTGGTCCTCTTAGCGCTGAAGCGCGGACCAATCAAATGCCCTAGAGGGTCATTTTATTAAACGAGTCTGAGCTTCAATACGTACACTTATATAAGCCATCGCGTTCACGGCGTAATCTTAAAATACTACCCTTATAAATCGGTGTAATCTACAGTACTAGCCGGAAATTTTCGCGAAAATATAGTACGGTGAAGTATAGGAACTACGAAGACACTATTTTACAGATCCTATAAAATAATGGATCTATCAAATGGTAGGTTAAACCCCTACCGGTTAACTAAAATCACTATTTAAGGCTTCGCTATCGCTTAGGATACCTCTAGTCCATTAACCTATTCTCGTAACCTCGTCCACCTCAGCTTCATCATCACTACTCTTATTATGCTCGCCGACTAAAGAGGTTTTAGATACTAGACTAGAAGATACTATAACCTCTACGTTCCTTAACTCATTATTAAAACGGGTTACCTTCGCATTAATATTCTCCATGCCTATCTCGTAGAAGCTCCGTACTACGAATGTACTCTAACGATGTTTCTTCGGTAAGATAGATAACTATAGTAGTCGCCCTACTAACGCCTAGATCTCCTCGGACGCTAGCTTTTCTATATGTAGTGTCCTATCTTTAAAAGTAACTTAAGTACTAAATCGGTCGGTAATTAATTAAGACTAAGGCTAAATAAGTGCGGCCTTCCTAAGTGCCTCCTTAGCTAGCTTACTTAATAAATGATAGCGAGCTCTACTTCGTTTAATAAATCCATTAAGGAATTCCAGCTCCCGATCCTTCTCGAAATATAAGTCGCTCTTTCCTCGATAGTTTATAAGGCTATTCGCTAATATAGTATACTATAGGTCGGGGTATGCGGCTCCTTCTTTATATATCATCGTAAATAGGTAGAGAAATTCTTTAGTATACCTAGGACTCTTAGAACCTTAATAATAAAGACTTATAATTATAATATTAATCCGGAGGTAGCCGATATCACTATATTTAATTCTATCTCTTAGTAAGAGATATAGAAATATATTACGTAGAAAGAGTATATAGTTCTAGAGTTCTTAATCCGGTTCCTATCCGAATGAAGGGTTATAAGTATCCGAATGGAGATTATCGTATATCTAATTAATTTAGTCCTCGAAAGTCGCGATAGGCATCTCCTTAAGCTTATAGATGATATCCTTTATTATATCTCCCCGACGTAGTCGTTAGTCGTACTTAAGTACATTTCGTATGAACATTACTACGATTCTAGTACGAAAGCTATATATCTCTAGTTCTTCTAGCGCGCGGAATGATCTTAGATTAGATAGATG